AAACATATTTGGAAATTAAAAGAAAACAATCAGGATTATACCATCAAATGGTCAATTTTAAAACACGCTATTTCGTACACAGGGGGATCAAAACGCTGCAATTTATGTTTGGAAGAAAAATTTTGCATTTTGAAAGGCATAAACAAAGACAATTTACTCAATAAAAGAAGCGAAATTTTCGGCAAATGTCGTCACAAAAACCGGTTTCGAGTAAACAAGGTCGTTAATAAAACCTAATGACCCAAGCATGCATTGTTTCACCTAAGCATTGTTTCGCCTACACGCATTCCGAACATTCTTTCGATAGCATAAAAGCAACCTACAATTTCGAAATTATTCACCACCTGATGATTCCTATACGGATGAAACAGACTGTTGTGGTTCTTTGAGGTAAAACGAAAAACTATATTACGCTCTATCTATATGGTATTGAGCACTGTTTGTGTTTCGTAAACCAAAATCTTAAGCTATATATACATATATATATATATATATATAAAAAAAAATAGTCGATGAGTTGACGTAAGGTAGAAGAGCGCTCAATACCATAATAAGTAGAGCGGAATTAATTCAGTCAAGGTTTGAATGTTTGCGTCGCTACTCTGAGTTTCATTATTTATTATGAATATTGAATAATATCTGTCAGTTGCCTGATGATCGCGTAAAGCGTGAAACTAGGAGTAGCGACGCAAACATTCAAACCTTGACTGAATTATATATATTTATATATATATATATATATATATATATATATATATATATATATATATATATATATATATATATATATATATATATATATATATATATATATATATACTCGAGAACATTTCCAACTTATCATATTATACGGAGTGAACAATAACACAACGTAACATAACATAAGTTTTACCTTATTTTAAATGATATGGCGACCGCACTACGTAAAGTAAAAGTTGAGTTTAAAAGTTTTTAATTAAATGAAAGAGATTATCTCTTACAGTCAAATCTGATGTTTTCTAGCGCGCTGCGTTGCAAAACCAAACCACAAGTTCGTGTATATATACGGTATAGTGGCTGATGTACGTCAGTACCCCCCCTCCCCCACCTCCAAATTGGTACGACTACGTGTTTTGTGACAACTAGAAACAAGCTAGTGCTTCACTGCTTTTTGCTTTTTCGCCCTTAATCTTCCAGGTAACAGCTACAGTTTAACCGTATTTTCTATATTTGACAACAGTGTTTGACAACTCCGTGCCTAAGTCCTGCCTTCCTCCCATGGTGCCCTATTTCATTGGTCGACAACAAAGAGTTGAAGGAATCTCGCGTGCGTTGACGTCCACATCTGCTCGGCTAGTCTCTGTATCTGGACCCCCTGGTTTTGGCAAAACCTCATTGGCAATTGCAGTAGGACACCAAGTTAGACAACTAGGACTACCAGTTTATTTCCTTTCCTTGAGAAGCGTCAAGACGGCGGAAGAGCTGACCTCTGACCTCTTAAACACCTTTGCAAATGCGTCTGATACAACGGGGCGAGAGCGTTCAAAACTATGCGGACTCCTCAGTGCAATTCCTTCTAATATATGCATCATCCTCGATAACGCTGACGTTCTTTTTGAGAGTGGTGGTGAAACGAGCCAAGATGTTTTAGAGCTTTTGGAAAAGATATTTTCGCATTGCAAGAATGTGTCCTTTCTACTGACCACAAGAGCGTGTCTTCAATCGGTACTAGGAAGAAAATTTGCTGGTCACACCTCTGTCGGTGTTGTATCGCTAGACAGGAAATCGTCACAAATGCTTGTTCAAGAACTTGTCCCTGCTGGTGATGAAAGTGAATGCTGCAGAGTGGCTGAGATTTGTGGAGACGTTCCGCTCGCTATCAAACTTTTGTGCGGTCAAATCGTTGACGAGAAGAAGAGTGCATCTCAATTCCTTGACCACTTTAGTTGCTCTTCAAAAACGATAGTAGCGTTGTTAGACGATCCAGACGCGCCTAATGATCAACGTTTAAATATGCTGTTTGAGTCTTATTTCAAACGACTATCTCGGGAAGAGCAAGAAGCATTTGTTTGTCTTTCTGTTTTTGTCAGTGAAGTGTTCGACGAGCAAGCTGCAGTAAACGTCATTGGAGGAGATGAAGACACGGCAAAGAAAACTTTGTTGAGGCTCAAGAGAAAATATTTGGTTGAAGGAAATTCCTCCCGACCAGTGCTGTTTTCGTTTCACCCTCTGATCAGGTCATTTGGTTCCGAAAGAGCAGCTGACATGAAAGAAATTGCTCGCGAAGCACAAAGGCGATTCCTGAGTTATTACGTCAAGTTGTTTGAAGATTTAAACAACCAGTTTCTCGCTGGAAATTCTCTGCTCGCATTTCACACTTTTGAATTTCACAAAGAAAATATGGTGCATAGTCTCTCCGAAGGTCTTCAAGACGAGGTTGTCTGTGACGCAATTTTCGATGTTCTTGCCGATGCGGATCTATTTCTGGATACTGTTTTCTACTTTGAGCGTAGCTGGATATTTCAGAAAATTTACAATTTAGCAATAGCCAAGGCAAAAGAGCAGCGTAAATTTAAAGCTGTCCACGAACTACTAATTGCTAAAGCTTTTGGTGGAGTAAGCCAGCTTGGTGGACCTACATTGACATTACTAAAAGAGGCCGAAGAAATAAAGAAGCAAAATCCTCTTCTTACTTCAGAAGTTATCATGGGAAAACGAATGTGTTACAATGGGATTCACTTGTTAATATATGGAGCGGTAGCAAAAGGGGGCGAAATTCTTGAAACAGGAATATCTCTGTTGAGTTCCGAAAATACTGTACTTAAGGTTTTATGCTCCCAGATTCTTGCTTTGATAACTCCTCACAGAGAAAAGTCTTCCTACTACAGGAACGTTGTTTTAACTGAATGCGCTGACAGACCATCCCTATATGCTTTCTTCAAAGCTATACAAGAAAATGATTGCGCTGACGAGAAAGAAAACCGAAAAGCTTTAAAACAACCACTCATTTTGCTGCTTGCTCTTAAAATCAACTCTATTGGATATTACAATGACTTGAAGGAGGTAATGCACAAACTTGGTTTTTTCATCTCCAAGTTACAGAAAGAAGTCGAAGCTGAGGCACAGAACGACCGTCTATATTTACCTCTACTCTTCATCGTTGAAAACACCCTGGCAAGGATCAAAGTAGAGCAAGAGAGTCCAGCAGCGCTGCAGCTCGCTCTTGACAATTTTATAGAAGAAAATGGTCGGTTAAACCCGGATACAGCCAAAAGGTACTATACTATCGGAAGAATTTTACGCAAACAGAAAAATTATGATGCTTCTTTGAGATCTCATTATGAAGCACTAGACATCAGACTGAAGCTTTATGGGAACAACTCAGATACGGCCAAGAGCTATTTGCAGATTGGATATGCCCAATATGGGAGAGGCGATTACGAGTCAGCACTGCAATCTTTTGAGAAAGTACTTGCTATCGGACAAAATCTTCATGGGAAAACCGATCCAGACATCGCCCGCGCTTGTTCTATAATTGGAGCGACAAAGTATCACTCGAAAAAGTATGATTCAGCTATGCATTGGCTCCAGCAAGCCCTGGATATTAGGGTGGCGCTTTATGGAAAGGAACACCCAGCCTCCGCTCAAAGCTACTACTGGATTGCAGAATGTCAATACGAAATGCAAGATTATGATTCTGCTCTGGATTCATGCCAGCAAGCACTTGATATCAGGTCAACGCTGTTTGGACAGGAGAACGAAGATACAAACAACAGCTATCGCCAAATGCAATTGATACGAAGCAAAAAACCGCTTTCTTACTTTAAGAAAAAAAATAATTTCAAGAACTTTTTCTTGAAATAAGTCCAAAGTTCTTCGGAGAATAATGAGAATACTTTTTCTTAAAAAAAATTTTTACCGGGAAAAATCATGTTCTTATTTGGAGAAAAACAAAATTTGTTTTAAATAATTTTTCTGAAAATAAGGCTTTTCTTTTTTAGAAGAGAATTTTGTTAATAAGTTTCTGAACAATTTTTTTCTTAAAAAAATCATTTTATCTTATAAGAATAAAATTTTCTCAAGAAAAATATGCTACAATAAGAAACTATTTCTTATGCAAGACTTACTTTAAAAAACTTGAGATAAATATTCTTCTGTATGCACTTGCACATTTTAGATTAGACGTTGTTTTAAAAATGACAAATAGTGCTTGCAGTTGTTCCTGTCGTTGTCGGTATGACGTATACTAGACTGATTTAGAGAACATAACGCGAACTGAAAGACCCGCCTTCGAAACAAAGATACTTTTTAAGCAAAACAAAAAGTTTGAATAATTTGTGGCTCAGGGGTACCTTCAACCACAGAATAAGAAGGTTCAGCAGAAGCGTGACTCAAGCAAGTATTTGTCCGCGTTTTTACAAGCGATTCGTCATCAATCACGTCATCTTGGCTAGTACAACCGGCACTTTGTACCTACCAAAACCTGATAAAAACGTCTGGTTGTACTAGCCAGGATAGCGTGAGCGAGTTAAAATTTTCGTGGGCGTAAAACAATAAGGGAACCGACTCGAGGTACACTTCTGCTGTACCTTCTTATTCTTGTGATTCAACGTTGTCATTCTGAATGCAACATTAAAATAAGATTTCACGTCATTGTCGTCATTGGAGCAAAGTGAATGCTTGTTGCGAGTCTTGCGACGTTGTAGGAGTTACATAAAATCTGTTTCGTAGCAGAGGTCATAGTTATATATGCATGAGTAAGCCTGGGACTGCTTGGGACGATTACATAATTGTTAGTATAAATAGAGTTTTTGTAAATAGACTATCATATCATGAAATAGTAGTTAGAATAAAGTAGTTCACCGTTTATGATCATCACAGCAGACACCGCGGATCATTTTTTCCCGATCTTACAGCCGTTTGTAAGCCTAAGGTTATTTTAAAAAGCTTCAATTTATTCCAGTAATCAAGTCCTTAGCTCTCAATCTTGAAGTGAAATTCAGACCGCATCGTCGTCTTTTCGAAATCTGTCTACTAACATCGAAATGGACCTGAAACTGGTCCGACAAATTGTAAACGTACCCTTAGAGATAATAAACTTCTTAGGAATCGTACTTGCATTAACAGGAAGTTATCTCATTCAAGGTTTTATTTTCGCTGCGTTTACACACTGCGATTGATTAGTGTTAACTTGTTGATCATTTGTTAATTTTAAATAAAGTATTGCCTGCCTGATTCGCTTTCTGGCGTATGTCATTGAGTAAACACGCGTAAGCTGGCTACATTTGAAATTTCTTTTTAACGAAACGGCAAGTATTGCAAACAAATATTGTATAAATCACACTTTTTATTATAT